CACCAGCACAGCTGCTGAAGAACTTTGTAAGTACAGTAGTGCCCGCAAGACGAACGCCTCGCAAAAAAAACTCGCTAGACGAAAGGTTTTTTCGTCCGCGATTTGCCTCGCAAGACGAATTCCCCTATGGGCTTGCTTCGCAAAACGAAGCTTGCCCCGGGGACAGCGGGTCTTCTCTTTTGAAGCAAGGGGCTGGGGAGATAGCGATCTCCCTGCAGCCCCTTGCTGCAAAAGACGTCGGGGGAAGCGGGGAAGCGAAGCGCTTCGCTTCCCGCTTCCCCCGGACCTCTTCTGAAGCAAGGGGCTGGGGGGAGATAGCGATCTCCCTGCAGCCCCTTGCTTCAAAGAGGTCCGGGGGAAGCGGGAAGCGAAGCGCTTCGCTTCCCCGCTTCCCCCTGACGTCTTTTGCAGCTGTTCCGAAGTGGGGCGGGGGGGCGGGGTCACCTGCCCCAGCCGCCCCACTTCGGAAAGCTGTTCCGAAGCGGGGGGGGGCGGGGACATCTGCCCCAGCCGCCCCACTTCGGAAAGCTGTTCCAGGAACAGCTCCATAGGAACCTCCATAGGCGCCCGTCACCTCTCCAGCCAGGAGAGCGCGCGCGGGGCTAAACCAGCCCCCCGCGACCCTCTCCCAGCTGGAGAAGTGACGCGCGCCTATGGCAGGAGCCTCCATAGGCGCCCGTCACCTCTCCAGCCGGGAGAGCGCGCGCGGGGCTAAACCAGCCCCCGCGACCCTCTCCCAGCTGGAGAAGTGACGCGCGCCTATGGCAGGAGCCTCCATAGGCGCCCGTCACCTCTCCAGCCGGGAGAGCGCGCGCGGGGCTAAACCAGCCCCCCGCGACCCTCTCCCAGCTGGAGAAGTGACGCGCGCCTATGGCAGGAGCCTCCATAGGCGCCCGTCACCTCTCCAGCCAGGAGAGCGCGCGCGGGGCTAAACCAGCCCCCGCGACCCTCTCCCAGCTGGAGTTGTGACGCGCGCATATGGCAGGAACCTCCATAGGCGCCCGTCACCTCTCCAGCCGGGAGAGCGCGCGGGGCTAAAGAAACCATAGCCCCGCGACCCTCTCCCAGCTGGAGAAGTGACGCGTGACTATGGCAGCAGCCTCTGAAGGATGCACCGAAGCCTGGCGTGGGGGGGGGCGGAGAGACCTTCTCCCCGCGCCAGCCTTCGGATGGCTGTCCTGAAGACTTGGGGTGGGAGAAGGGTTTTCCTTCCCACCGCCAACATTCAGAATGCTGTTCTGAATGTTGCGGTGGGGAGGAAAAACCCTCCTCCCACGCAAGCCCCGGGAACAGAGGGAAAGCGCTGCGCGCCTTCCCTCTGTTCCCCGTACCTGTGCTGAAGGCTTGCGGTGGGGAGAAAAGCCCTTCTCCGCACCGCCAGCCTGGCAAGCGGTTTCCCTAGGAACGCATTAATTGATTTTCAATGCATTCCTATGGGAAACCGTGCTTCGCAAGACGAAAAATTCGCTAGACGACAAAAATTGCGGAACGAATTAATTTCGTCTTGCGGGGCACCACTGTGATTTGAAGGCGTTTCTGCTGGCAGCATCACGTGGAAAAGCCAGGTTCAGTCCTTAAGTGTATTTGGGCAGGAGGAGGAGGAATAAATGTGCCACAGAGTTTTTTCTTCATCCATCTTGTTGGAAGACCACAATCTGCTTGACTGTTTGGGTTGCCACTGGAAGTTTTGCATGGCAATCAATGGTTTGAATAAAAAGGGGAAGCAGTAATCAGGGAGCCTGGAGGAGACCCAGCTGCCCCTTAACAGTTGGGGCTCCCTTAATGCAACAGTTGCCCTCCTGGTACATGTTAAGGGGACCAATGACAAATCCTGGAGAATATTTACTTATTTATAACCCACATTTTTTCCTAAGGTTTTCCCTGCTCCTTAATTACTTCCTACAACAGTCCCTGTGAGGGAGGTTAGGCCGAGAGGCAGCGACTGAACCAAGGTCACCCAGTGAGCTTTATGGGGTGAGTGGGGATTTGAACTCTGGTCTAAAATTTGTTTGAAGTATAGGCATTCTGCCTTTTTTGTGACTGAGTCTTTGAGGTGGTTTATAAAAACCACTAACAATGATCAAATAAAAACTTAAATTAAAATTCATCCAGCCACACGGCCCAGTAAAAGAAATAGCAGAAGCAACATGGTAATTTGGAAAATCCCATGAAAGCATCTAAAAAACAAGAGCAGGTGCCAGCTGAATATTTCTGAACATTCAGCCCCCCACCACCACCACACGACCCCATTTCTCATGAATAGAGAGGGTGGGGAGCTACTGCATTGTGCTCTCAGATCTTTTAAATACATAGCAAAGCCCCTGCAGAGGGAAGAGGGTTACGTTGTTCTTCACCCCAGCGGTCTTCCCCTCCCCAACCCCAGCTGATTTTCTTTTTTAAAAAAAGTTGGGAGAAATGTTACATGAGCTTGCTGTTTACTTTGGCAATAAGGAAGTCTTTGTGGGAGTTGAGCACCAATGTTGCAATACTCAATCGGATGATCCACTTGAGAACAGGAACCTAATATCTGGCTGGGTATCTGTATGTAGATGCTAGCTTTCCTCTCACAACACCTTAGCATGCATTTCTCCCTCCCTGCTTTCCTAGCCCACTGTTTTCCACCTTCAAAGGCTGAAAACCACACAGAAGGATTATAAGCCAAAATTCACTTCTACAATCTTTTGTCCTAGAAGAGCTCAGCATTAAAATTTGTTTCTGAACACATATATTTCCTGCAGCCACTGATGATTAAACATGTTCAGAACTTTTAAAACCTGCAACATTTAACATTTTAAAGATGTATTTGTAAATATTTATTTTTACCAAGAAAAAATGCATGGTGTCCATGTTAACAGAGTCCAAACTTCAGGTTCTCTCAGTAATGCAAGGTTATCCTTAATCAATGACATAGATTTAAATTGCAATCTGAAGGTATTTTCAAAAATAATAATAGGTTAATCAAACTCATTTACACTGTTGCATTACTCAACCACAGTACCTCATAACTTTGCTTTCAAAGCACTCCTTGTGCATTTAAAAAACCCTTTACATCCACCTACTACATACGTCAATACATAGACAAAATGTGGAGTCAACAGAGAGGCTTAGGATAATACCCAGGGGAGGGGGCAATGCTATATTAAATTATGTCTGTTGGATGTTTTCATGTTATTTTCCCTGGGATACTTGCATTAGTTCTTCCATCTTCCAGTGAAGTCTTGCTGAACACAAAATTTAAACTTTTTGGCAACAGTGATATTTCCAGCTGCAATAGGGAACTCTCATACATAATGAACCCCTGCTTAGGTGTCGCCCATTCGATCACATATTTAGTCAAGCAATTTGTGTTTAGGACTCCGCTCAGGGACATGTGTATGCATGTGTGCAAATCTCTTCCCCTTCCACTTACTGGACGCGATCAAGGATTAAGCGGAAAGTCACCTTCCAGTCATTAAAAACAACAACAACCATAAACGCTGGTCACCTGGTTTGGCAGGGCTGTCCATTTGGGCATCTCCAGCCCAGTAGAGAAGAGGGCTTGTTTTATAGTCTTCAGCATCCTGGGTGGAGAAAAGGAACGACGTTAGAGCTTCCCTTCCACGTTCTGCATGTGCACCTGCACATCTCTTCCCTTTGTATTCAACGGGGTATGCAGAAAAGCAACTGGTGCAAACATTTCCCCCAGTATGGAAATGTATTGCAAGAAGCTGCGCCTAGTATTATTTTTATTTTTTAAGGCGCAGCTTCCCTAAAGCAGAAACCAAAGCGCAACCTTCGCAATCTCCCCCCCCCGTTGCCCTTTCAAACCCCCCCGCCGCATCCCCTCTACCCATATCCCCCTTCGCTCTCGGTTCGCCTCCTGCCTTTCTGTCTGCCGGCAGCACCTTCCGTCTCTCCCTCGCTCTCCTTGCATAAGGCCCCGGCGCCTTGTGTAACAACATTTCAGGCGACGCTCTCCGTGGCGTCGGAAACACCCAGGGCGGGGAGGGGAGGTGGCCTGGGACACTATGCTGCAAAGGAGGGGAGCAAACAACCCCCCCTTGCAAAGTTGTGAGGAAGAGCCGCTGACGGCATTGGGGGGTGGGGGGGGCACTTGGCGGCCGTTCCAGCCAGCCTACGAGAGGCGTCCGGATTGGCTGCCCTCAAAGGAGCAGCTTCGCACGTGTGAGAGGGTGCGCGCGCGCGAGGGGTGGGGAGCGAGGAGCGAGAGCGGCTGTTTTGCTGGCGACGGTGGTGGGCGGGGAACGGGCGCGCGCTCCTCCTGGCCCTGCAGTGCCGCTTGGTGTCAGATGCTGCTTGTTGTGCTGGCTGGCTGGCCCCCAAGCCATTCTGGGGGATGCGGGAGTGAGCTAATGGCAGATTGTCATATGCCTCAAGCGGGAGGAGGGAAAAGGGGGGGGGGGCGGCCGAGATGACAAGGGCCCTTTGAAAGCCGAAGGCATTCGCGCGCCTTGGCTCTCTTTTCCTCCTACTCCCAACTTTGCGAGGAGATGCATCGCCTCCTTTAGGAGCGCAAATGTGCCCCCCCCCCGTACTATAGAATGCGCGGGGGCGCCTTGTTGGCTCGTGCTCCTCCGCATATTCTCATCTTCTGAGGCTCCTCTGAGGAAAGTGGTCCGCAGAAGCAGAAACGCGGGCGAAACTTCTGGCACGCGAGTTGCTCTCGGAGCGACCCGCAGATTAAATGTTTTCAGTCTGAGAAGCAGCACCGACAAGTGTTTTGTGGATTGCAGACCAAAGAGTTTAAGTTTTCAACACCCTCTCTTAAAATGCAAAGGGAACAAGTGCCCCTCCTGCAGAATTGCAATTTTTTTGCGGGTGGGGGTGAGAAGCAAAAAAGACATTCATAGTTCCCTGACACATTTAGGGATGAACAGCATCTCCACATGCTAGGAATGTTCTCCATAGCAAAAATGGACCAGAGCCCAGGTATTTATCGGTTGCTTTCTAGAAATGAAATGGTTGAACTGAAGCTGGTAGCTCCAGGTAAGTAAGAAAAGTATAGCCCAGGAATGGAGAGGTGAAAATATAATTTAATTTGTGGCATTGCAAAATCACCAACTCTCCCTGTTGCGACCTTTCAGCTAAAGATGTAAACAAATAAGATCTAGAAGTGGGCATAATGGTGACACACAAAGCAACCCTAGTAAAAATTTGCAGTCGCCCACTTGTGCAGTGAAGCCAATAGGCAAAGCCTTTATAACACTATAAAAGGCTTTCCAAGCACAGACACAGCAGCCAGGAGCTGGGGAGGGAAAAGATCATCCTTTGGTAAGGAAGACTGACAGGGAATTAGAACCAGTGGATACAAAGTCGCTGGTATATTAAGCAATTATGTTGCATCTGCTTTCATAAATGAAGGCCCAGACTCGAGTGGAAATCAGATTTAGGGAGAATTAGTTGATGCAGAGATAATATCTAGAATGTGGATTTTTATTTTTTCCCCTTAAATGGTTTGATGCTCTTTAAACTGTAGTTGCTCCAGAAGTATATGACACACATTTCAGGCATTAAACTGGCTAAACCTCTGACAAAAAATGTTTATGAAGGTCACATAAATGAGGCCTGGCTCTGTAATGTGATCAGCTCTGATAATGATACCATACGTGGTGGAAGAGGGAGAGGAGAACAAGGGAACATAGTTGCATAATCATCATTGCCTGCTTAAATGAAATATCACATACTGGTGTGGCATTAAGCAGGTCTCTTCTCCCATCTGCTGTTCGTGACAGTGCTAAACTTTCTTGCAGTTCCACAGAAACAGCACAGTTGTACCACCGTAGCACCTTACCCCAAAGAAGACAGCTGTACATCTGCACCAGCGATCCTCTGTTGCTCATGTATTGCTTTGTTTTGTTCCTCACAGTCAATACCATTGCATGGAATACGTATAGTGTGGAATCCTGGCCCGAGATAGGTACTGCCATGATTTTCACACCAGATCGGTACATTAGGACTGAGCTGCTTGAAGGAGCATTTATACCCATATGAACCTCTGGAGGTCTTGAGATTGGCCTCAGTGGCTCTGCTTATGGATCTTCCATCTAGTATGATAGACTGACTGACAGGCTCACATGATAGGGCATTTTCATTTTTTCTTCCTGCTTATGGAACTTATTCCCCCGAGAGTTGTGTTTTGCTGCCGCCCAGAGCCTTTTCTTTTTGGTTTTTGGTTCAAGTAAGCTGAGTGTGGCAGTATCTTGTGCTGGGAATGAGGAGGCTGGCTGTGGTGCTTTTATATGGTTTTATTTATTTCCTACTGATTTATATTTAATGAGATAAATTATGTAATGATTTTAATTGTGCAGTTAATCATCATCATCAAAGCAATAAAGCAGCATAATCATTAATTCAATTTATACCCTATCCTTCATCCTGAAGGAATTTAGGGCAGAAAAATCCATCAATAGTAAGCAAAGAGCGAAAGAAAAATTATAAAAGCATTCTAAAAACATTTACGAGAATAATCTCAACCAGTGATTTCAGGGATCTCAGCCGGGAGCAATATCTTATTTGTCATCAAATACTTGGATAAACAGTAATGTTTTTAAATTTCTCCTGATAGTAATGAGGGAGGGCATTCCACAAACAAGGAACCAGCACTAAGAAGGCCCTGTCACATGTCAACACTAACCAGGCAGTGCCCACCAACAAAGCCTCATGGAGTTTAGACCTCATAGACAACTAATGAAGTGGTACGCCTATGTCCACATGATGCCACTTCAAATTGCAGATGGGGGCCTCGCGTGAATGAGTTCTTCTTAAAACAAACCCCACCCCCATAGAAAAGTAGATATCACAGAGAAGCTTCTACCTTAGGTTTTGTGAAAGTTTTCTATGTAGGTGGATTGATTTTTTTTTAAATGGAGGGACATTCAATCATGTGAGCTCCTGCTGGTTGTCTCAGGCTAGTTTATGTGAATGATAGACTAGTGGCAGCCAGGAGACCAAGCAACCTTTTGGAGAGATTCGTTGCCCTAAAGCTTGGACTACTACAAGAACTTAGAAAGGAGTTCTGAACAGTTAAATTTATCACACAACTATTCAGTTATCCTGATTCTGATAATGACATTACTTCAAGTTTGACAAAAAATACAACAAATACTGTATTTTTTAAAGGTTTAAGGTTTACTGCTTCAGCTGCTACTTGTGATAACAAGGTCACTACCTTTTCTGCACCTTTGTTCTCTTGTAAAGTAATTTGTCCTGAACAAGTTGGGTTTTTTTTCAAAATTCCTATTAGGAAATGACACATGCATGCTTTAATCTGAGAGACTGAAAAAGTCACTATATAGAATGAAGGCTGCAGCTTTTGTATTCCTTTTTGTGTATCTGATGTAAAAGTTAATTAAATAGACTGAGAGATAGTTGGAGATTGGGAAACAAGGGAGAGGAAAGCAGGTTCATAAGAGGCTTACTTTTGACCTGGTCTTGTTCTCTGTTATTACTTTGCATCCCTGATTTCACCCTTCTGTATTGCCTCCTCCCTGTTAAGACGCTCCACTGTGCTGGCTGATGAGTAATGTTAGCTTTATGGAATGGATTCTTCTCTCACATCTCATCTTGCACAAAAGCTCACTATTAGAATTGCCAGTAATAATTGCACCATGCCACAGCTGTGACCAATCTAGAAATAAACTCCACCCCTTCAGCAAATCCCTCCTCCTACATCACAAAAGCAATATGGACAGATTCTGAAGAAGGATCAATGGTTCTCCTTTGCAATAAAATTTGCCACAGTTTGATAGAATAAAATGTGAGAGAACAGAATAGGAAGAAGATGACTAATGGCCAGAAAGAAAACTGTATTTCATCATTTATATCCTGAGTAGTTTTGCATGAGCTTGTATCAGTGTCATGTCAACTGTGAAAATGGGAGACCGAGACAGGAGGGAGATGGCAGATGTTGAGAGGTGCATCAGTAGTTCTCAGGATCACCTGTGCTCTAATTTACCATATGTAGGCAATCACATGTTGTTGATTCACAGGACCTGTGGCAGATGAGGAGGTCTGAGCTAGTTGTGCTAGTTCAACCCGCATGGCTCTCACAGGCCATTCTTAAGTTCCTATGCCAACAATTTAGGAACTCTCACCACTTTGGAACAAAACTAAATTTTGCTGCCTGCGCGACCTTTCAGACTGATGTATGGAAAAGGATAAGAGTCTGGCCTTTGGAGAGTTTGTAAGTACACCCATTTTAACTTACTAAATGTGTGTCCTTTTACTATGCTGGGGAAAAAGAGGACTGCTTGGAAAGATGCATTTTAAAAGTCCTAACAGCCTATATTTCCACACTTTACTTTGCTGCATACTGTGTAGTTTTAACTCTCTGATGGAGTTCTCTCACCAAAGAGTACTTGCCCCGAACTTGGATCTTGGCATCCAGGAATTTTCTTCTATACCATTTCCCCCTCCAGCTAGCACGAATAAGGCTTATTACCATTATCATTATGGAATTAATTACCTGCCCTTCACTAGCAGGTCCTGGGGCCAGTTACAACAATTTAAATTTGAAAATTAAAGCAGGTTAAGCAGTTTGTGATCACAGGAATAGGCTGGGTCTTGAAAAAACACATCTCAAAAGACCAGGGTGAAGAGATGTATCTTCAGCACTTGCCAAAAGCTCTGTTATTAAAAAGCCATCTGTTTGGGGCTGCCACAGAGAATGCCTTCTCTCAGACCACCCCCGAAACTACTTAGGGAGGTATAACCAGCAAAAGGGCTGATCAAAACACCCAGGAGGATCTGTAGGGAAGGAGACAAGTCTTTCAGATACTTGGGGCCTAAGTCATTTAGGGCTGTAAATACTAATGTGAGCGCTTTGAATTGGGCCCAGAAATGAATTGGCAGCCAGCAAATAATAAGCATAAATATTATTCTACACAGAGTTGGGCTGGATATGGTCACTTCATTCTGCAAGGGTGGGGCACCAATATGATGGTCCACCCACAGAGACAGAAATCACTGTATTCCTTAACACTCCGGAGGATGTCTGGCACTTGCTGAGACTCTCATCACACTGTGAGATGCGTAGAGCCACTGACACAATTGCTCCTGGGTGCCCTAGCTATTGCTATTGGCCATGTAGGTCACCTTAGTACACTAGTGATCTGCATGCAATGAAGTGAGAGGGGTGGCGGCTAGGCAAATGACAATTTATTTCATGGTTGTAGAATGTTAGGCTTCCATAAAACATCTTAGTTCAGTAGAATGTCAAGAAATGGAAAGTAAAACTTTGTCAAAATTGCAGATTAGTGGAAGTCCGACTGTATTAGTTTTCCTCAATATTTATTACTTCAATGCAATACCAAATAATCCAGTTTCTTAAGCCTCTGTCAGTTAGCTTGATTTTAAATAAGATTGGCCTATTGGCCCCCTATTGACCTCCAAGTGCTCCATAACAATTATAATAATAATTATGAAGAATAAGTAAGGAACCAGGCTAAAAACTGTGTCATGTAGGTCATATGCTGATAGAATGTTAGAATAATCTTAATGGTGCTGATTTGATATTGATGAAGTGAAGCCGAATAACTCATTATTTACTGGCTCATTACGAAATGATTTCTCTATCTGGATTCAAGTTTACTTGAAACTGGTGTGAATGTAGCATCCACATAGCTCACCAGCACCCACATGGGTCATCTGAGGTAAAAATTAATTCACCAGGAAATTATTTGTCCCTGGTTCAATGCACATGGCCATGTGAGGTTGTTATCAAATAAAAACTTTCCATTAATCAATACTGCATTAAAGCTCCGGGATGATATCCAACTGACTATAACTAACTTTAGATACCACTGCTAGTTGTGCAAACTGACCTATGAAATCCATGAATTCAGCTATCTTGTTAGTTACTGCATATTCACATTTATGAATATGGCTGTGTAGACTGCCTTCTCTCTCACTCTCTCACACACATTAATTTGTCCCAAACATCAAGAATCTTGAGCTGGGGTATTGTTTAAGGGATTAGTGGGGGGTTGTTGCTGTTAGTGATATATATATATTGTATCTTTATTTTAGCTCTTATTGTGATTTGCATGGAAGTTGTTCCAAATGGTTGTGCATTTTCTGAAGTTTTGTTTATGAATACTTTTGCTGTGTTGTAATTGTGTATTTTTTCACGTTGTAAGCAGCCTTGAGCATGCTTTGTACTGTGGAAAGGTGGCATAGGAATAAAATTATTGATTGATTCATTGAAGATTGGCACAAAGGGTAAAAATTTAAATGGCAAGAAATCAAATACATAAGGGTGTAATGTGACCAAGAGATGGGGAATATAACACCGGGAGTGGCATGGTTGCTAAAACGTACTGACTTTATTCTGCAAATTCTTATAAAGGGAAAAAGAGAATAATATGCTATTCACTATTGATGGCAATGAAAGCTGAACTATCCTCATATCCAACTCCCTAATTAACTGCACACAAACCCTGGACTGCACATTCAGATATATCCTTGACAGAGGTTTGTTCTTTATTTCTAATTAGTTTTATCCTACTCTTCAGCCAAAAAGGGAGCTATCTGGCATGGTACCACCATCAGATGAATTATATAGTTTATGTTTCTGTGGTTACCATCTATCCCCATGCAGACAGAGATATATTATGTCCCACCTTTCTCCCAGTGCAGGACTCATTGTTTGAAATGGGGTGGGGAGCAGAAGCAAACTAAAAGGTGATTAAAAAAAAACACCTTTATTTTTTTATTTAGCTAGATTTAGTCCACCACACACTCGGAGCTGAATGGTTACATGACTTGTGTATTCTTTAATTAAAAGTATAAAACAACGTGAAACCGTTCTGTACACTCTGTAGACCCTATCGCATTGCTGCATTGTTGTGTCATTACTTGCCACAAGTCTGTCTTCCATAGAAGGCCTGGACCTTTCTGGGTCGTTTTTACTTGTATTCAGACTTCACAGCTGTCAGAAGAACAATGGAAGGCCTGTAGCGTAATAGTAGCCCACTGCCAAACATAGTGATGGTATTAACTGGTAAATAGGCATCTTCAGCCCTCACATTTCAGATTCATGTTAATTGTCATTGCAGTCTCTATTTTGACTTTTGACTATTCGTTAAAATCTTCAACAAGTTAGTGCAATTTTTTAAAAAAACGTTAAAGCCCTTTCAGTTATTGGTGTGTGTGTGTGTCTCTCTGTGTAAAAAAAATCCCCAGCATAATTGTTTTTTACCACAGCTGCTACAGTCCACATTGCTCAGACTTAGCCTTCCAAAACACCTTTGCTTATGTCAAATAGTGCAGAAAAATCTGAGGTACAGCATTAAGTTCATAGTTTTCTCCTACACAACAATCTTGTAGAGTTTTTTTGTTTTGCTTTCTGTGCCGTTTAAAAATGGCATAATTAAGCATATTAACCGGTCAAAGTTCCTTTATGATTGTAGCTATTCCCTTTTTTGGAGTCCCCCCCCCTTTTTTTTAAACCACGAGAACTGCAGCCATAGTTATTTCCGTAGCTTTTACTGCTGTTTTGTCTCTTCGTAAGGAGGCACTGGATCTTGAAAGAGCTGGATGTGGTCCTCTTCCATTGAGGTTTTCATGGTAGCCTCCTCGTATGACGGAGGCAAGCATACAGTGAGAAAGGCAGTTTCAGGGAGGAGAGTGGAGTAATGAAAGCTCTGCTCACTGCTCCAGGGCAGCACTGAGAGAAAGTCAGTCACCTCATGCTCTGGAAGGGACTCTGGGAGGTCAATGCTGAAGATCTGAGCCTGAGGGCTGCGACGTCGGCAGCGTCTGTAAAGGAAGAGCAACAGGAATGCCAGAAAGAGCATCATGGTAGCCGGCAGGATGATGCATAAGAACGGTTCAATGTCTTCTTTGGTTGAGCTTGTTTTGTGCTGACTCTGAAACAGCAACCAAGAGAAGAAAAATGTATCAGGCATTTGGGAATGCCAACATCTCACTTTATCACCAGCTCAGGTTACAGCACAGAAACAAAACCAGGTTGCACTAGAGGACATGAAGAAATAGCTACTGGTTATTCTACTAAAAAGGGGGTTTTAATTTTTCACCACAACCAATGAAATAAAGCAGGTCAAGAAAAATAGCAAGGCACAATCCATACCAAAGTGGAATCTAGACACATATAAAAAATGCTGTGAAAATGTTTTTTTTTAAAAAAAACCGTTTTGAAAAATATATTGAATTTGCCATAGCTCACCATCACCATCTAATGTCATATTTGTATAATGCACTTTACAGCACACTTAAATGTTTTGTTTGCAGCTATATAGTTGAATTCCAAGTTAAACATTTCTGCAAGGCAATTCTATGCATATTTAATCAGACATAGTCCCACTGAGTTCAATGGGGCTTAGTTACAAATATGTGTATAGAATTGCAGCCCCAGGTATTGTTTTCAATGAGAAATGAGAGTGCTGTTGAGCACATGCTATATTTCTCTATTGAATATTTTTTTTTTTTTTTAAACTGCTTCTGTGAAGATCTTTCTGCCCACAAACCCAGAAAATGTCTGACACTGCTATCTTCTGGAGGTGTGCTAAACATAAATGGCCAAACATAAATGGCCACTTTTGGCATTCCCAGAGCCATCCAGAAACCCTTTGGATCCACCAGCCTCCAAGGGCAAACCATCCTAATAGGTCTCCCACCTCTGCATGGCCGTAGTTAGGGGGTGGTGAGGTGGGCCGCTGCCAGGGGTGCAGGCGATGGGGGGTGCAAAATTGGCTTAAAATATGTCCATAAATATTGATTATTGCCTCATAAGAAATGGTTTTAAATAGAGGGTGAATTGAATGGGTGGAAGGAGGTTGGGGTTGGAGGAGAGGTGGAAAGAAGAGCTAGTTTGTCCGTGGCTAGGGGGCGCAATCTGGACGGTTCTGCCAGGGGTGCAAGATCACCTAGCTATGGCTCTGCACCTCTGCTGGGGGGGAAAGGGTGCTGAAAGCCTAAATCTCAACAGGAAGTGATCTGACCATTACAAGTCATTGTCCATTCCTCTCAGTCAGTCCTGATACAGGACATGTGTGTTGATGTCTGAGAAGGAAGCCAGTGTTCTGTGAGTGCACACCACCTGTTGGGAGGGTCTTCCAGAGTACCTGTCCACAGAATAGAATATAATTCTGTCTATCCTCAGAATGCCAGCTCACACTCGCCTAAACAACCTTTCTGGCAGAGAGGAGTCACATTGAGGATGCTTGTTGGGGCAAATGGTCCCAAACTGCTTTGGTTTTCCATTAATGCTCAGCAATAGGCAATCCTCCTGTAGGCAATACCTCCTGGTATTTAGTACTATCAGAATGCAGAACATAGAGGTGATGCAGTGGTTGCTGAGAAAACTTAGTGACCAATGAAATAAGGCATAGAGAGACTGACAGTTAGTGACATAAACTTAGAGGAAAGTCGGGTCACAGAGGAAGAGGCATTTGGAAATAATTTTGAAGGATAGCAATGTGGCTTAAAAAACAGGAGGGATAACTGTTGATGATCTTGTATGGAATAAACAGAATGAGGGTGGATTAAGGAAAGACCAGGGAAGATATATAGTCAGGCTGAAGGATGCTATTGATTTTTCTCCTCGCATTTCTTGCTGCACAATAATCTTAGACCACAACCCCTAAGCCTCATGACATGTAAATAAGTTCAGCTGCTTTTGCATTCCTTTCCCTCCCATATATAGACGCAAGTCTGTGCTAGCACTCTAGAATACATTGGTTGTGTCTAAGTGCCTATCAGAGTGCCTATTGTATCAGATATGCACAATGTGCACTAAGAAGGAAAGTCTTCTCCTTGCTATCAGAGTGCCTTTTGCACTTAGGCATCATGAAATCAAGTCAGCGTGAACAGGGCTTTTTTTCAGCCAGAACTCAGTTCCGGCACCTCTCAGGTGGGTGCTATTGCCATTGTAAGAGAACAAGGGAGGCGTTCAAGAACAGTTCTAGCACCTCTTTTTCTAGAAAAATAGCACTGAGCGTGAACATTCCCACATTGCACTAGGAACTCAATACAGTGGTACCTCAGGTTACATACGCTTCAGGTTACAGACTCCACTAACCCAGAAATAGTGCCTCAGGTTAAGAACTTTGCTTCAGGATGAGAGCAGAAATTGTGCTCCGGCGGCACGGCAGCAGCAGGAGGCTCCATTAGCTAAAGTGGTGCTTCAGGTTAAGAACAGTTTCAGGTTAAGAACGGACCTCCGGAATGAATTAAGTACTTAACCCGAGGTACCACTGTATAGAGAGGGAAAAACTAGCGCTCATGGTTGTTTTTGAGTAAAGTGCTATAGACTCATTTGCTATAGACTCAGTTAAAAACACACATACAATGAAGTAAAATCACACTCATTTTAATTATCACTTTTGGGAAATTTATAGAAATAGCAGAATAATGAAATTAATATTGATTTAAGGTTTGGTGCCCGCCAAAAGTTTATTATGCACCAAGAGTGGAGCAGAGATAGCAAAGCTGTGATGAAGAAACCTTTGGCCATTGGGTCATGGTGAAGGAAGTGGGAGTTTTAAAAGGCTTCAAATAAAAGTATGAGATGGGCATCCCCACCTGATCCATGTTCAACATTTATAGCACATTGTAGTTTTGGTTACTGTAATACCAGGAAATTGCAAAAAAAGAAGTAGTAAATAACTGGCACAATGAATTGTGAGATCAATTACAGTTTTCCTTAAAATAAAGGCTTTATAATATGGTTGGTGGTAGTGGGGAGAGGTGGATGGGATAAAGGAAAGCTGTGACTTTTCTCTTCCATTCCATTTTAGTACAAATTGCAGCCTAATGGCTGAATCACAAACAGGATGCATTCCAAATGACTCTTAAGTGCGTCTTCTACCCTCTGTTTTTTATACCTCACTAGGGAAAGCAGAATCAATATTTCCAAATGCGGGAGCAGTGAAAGCATTTGTTGCATAGATTTTCAATATGAGTCGTCAGATGTGCTTGAATATTGTATGCTTTATAGATGCTGAAAACTTTATCATAGTCAGCGTGCTGATGACTGAAAATGTTGCTTTTGGGAGGCTGATATAATGGAGGCTGGAGACAGATCATATATTTTTCAGACAAAGTGGGGAGGGGGAAATCACTGCGTGGAGTGCGATAAGTACACTCATTCCACTTAAGAACTCTGGTAAATAGATTTTAGTGAACATTTGCAGGCTTTTGTATTTTTCACAACTCTACAAAATCATACGTGACGCTGTGGAAAAAGAAATGTGCATGTACACTAAGAGAAGCAATACCTTTCTCAAATATCTTTCACTTCTTAAAAAAGATAAAATTGCCTGGGTTTTTAACCTAGGTTCTCTTTCATGAAACAAATCTTATCATTTTGTGCTTTCTTTATTTTACGTCAGGCATCCCTCCTAATACTTTGCATAGCTGTCAACTTTTCCCTTTTCTTGCGAGGAATCCTATTCGGAATAAGGGAATTTCCCTTAAAAAGGGGGGAAAGTTGACAGCTATGATACTTTGGTTATGCTTTTTGGTTGACAAAACAATTTGGGGAAAATATATCAGCGATAAGAGACATGTCATTTTGGTAGAAGAAGCTGATTTGCCCAATTTCCTAATATTATCTATTGATATAGTGCCATCTCTGTACATGGTACTTTACAAAGAACATACGTGGCAGAAGTTTATAATATAAAACAGGCACAGGGAAACAGCAGAGGAAGAGGAGGAAAATGGAGGCAGGGGTAGGCAAGGGAATAATATTTTATTATTTCAGTAATGCATACTTGGGCTTAATTACAGTTAGCAACAGGCTAGCTATCAATTCTTGTTTCTCTCAGTTTTTCCTTTTTCCAGCCTCAAGTTCAGTTTACCACTTTTCTGCATTGCATTTTTAAAAAAGAAAACCCTCAAGAAAATTCATCAGCATTTGTGTGCAATTTGTTTTCCTAATAAGCACATTTTTGCAATGAATTTTCCCTAACATAACACATGCTGTGTGTTATTTTAATGAACACGTGTTTTTATGCACATGTTTCCTTAAGGTACAGTGTTTCATACACATTTTTGACTGGAGAACTGTATTGCAAAATTCTGAGAAGTGCAAATTTCAAAGGACAACTTATTTTGGTACATGTATTGTTTTGGGAAGTGCAAATTTGCAACTAAATTACTCTACCACCTCTATATACGGAAATATATATAGACTAGGAGCTATTAGCTGGGCACAGAATTATAATTCTACGTATTATGTAATACTCAGAAGTGACAAACTAAAAACACATGCAATTCAAACTTTTCTCTAACTGGAATGCCTAAGCTAATGAATGGGTAGGGTGCACTTTCAGTGAGGGGAGAGGGTAAGAATTCAGATACCATATTATATAGTGTGCTTATCCCCAAGTCTGCATGGGACTCTCTGCTTTTGCAAGTTGTTCTACACATTCATGAATGTAATAGTCCTGTTATGGAGGTAAGAAAAACAATTTTATTTCTTTGTTAACTAGTTTTACCTCTGGAAAAAACCTGCTTGTGTGACCACTGTGGGTAGGGGGCTAGTTCCACTTGGAATTAATAATTAAAAGCAGAATTGTGCGTAAAGCGGAAATTGTTTCATTCAAAAGCAGGAATGATTTGTGTATGAAAATTGCAAGATTTAATGTGAAGTGACTTTTAACAGAGGTCCAGTCCACAAATGCACATTCATAAATCCCATTGACTTTCACATCAGGTAAATGATGTGAATATGCTCATGAATTGTCACATATTTATCACCACAGGCAGAGGTTCTGTATCATTTAGTGGCAACTCAGACCCAATATATTTCAAAAGTTCCACCAAGTGAATGGAATCAAGTGTTGGTGAATGAAAAACAAATGGATATGTGAGTGAGCCTAGAAAATCCCACATATTGAATATTTGCATTTAACTGAGGGGTGTTTTGGTTGAGGCGATAGCAGCAGAAATCAGTTTATTGTCATATACAATCTATTGTTTTGGTCCTGTCACAAATGGATCTACTCAGTGGGACTTACTTCTGAGTAGGCATGCATAGGATTGCACTGCTAATTGACTTAATTGCAGACATGCTGGTCTAAGACAGATTTATTTATTTTTATTCAGCATGGTTAGTACCTTCTATAGGGAGTGTGGACAAAGTTATTTCTTCTGTATTAAATGTTTATCCTTGGATATTAATTTACTCCAGGGCTAAACGTGACCTTTTAAGTCTCTTTCATTATCTATGAACTCTCCCTCTTTACATTCAGGGCAGTGTTTTCATTTCTGACAGGCGTCTCCCGCTCCCTCCCCTTGCCAGTTCCCTACACTCTGTGAAGTAATTTGCGCAGCTTAGAGAATAAGAGTTCAGCACTTCAGTCTAACATCTGTGGAAGGGTTTGCAGAGACCCGATCAAGGGAGATAGAGAGAGATTTGGGGTGGGAGGAGAGACAAGGAGGCATGCATTTTGAAAGAAAACGACAGATGAAAGAACAATTATCTCATTTTGTAACCCAGTATCAGTTTTGGACTAAACTTTTATCATCTCTGTCTACATAATGCCCTTTTCTCTCAAGTTGTTGAACAGAAAAACGAGGCCCTAGAACAGAGAATAAAACGAAGAGTGCATCTCCCCACCCTTGAAAGTCAGCTTATCTGATATTACACAGTCCAAATTCTATCAAAACTGTCTTTTAGTCATCTCTCGTAAGAGAAGAAATTGTAAATTCTTGAATGGAGCAGAAAGAGCTGTGTACAGACCTGTAGCTGTGTTTCCAGCAATGGGACACCTGGCTCACTAGTTAACCAGTCATAGTTTCCTCTGTCAGCGTGTCCAAATTTCTTCCAGCTGCTGTCTAAGAGCCACCTCATGCTTTCATGAATGTTCCTCGTTGTTCCGCTTCAGTTTAGGTCCTTGCTTTTTGGTCTCTCTTAAACGGTGCCCCTTCTCCTTACTCTTGACACAGCTGGAAATGTCTCAGCTAAAACCCATTTTGAAAGTCTTCCTGGGTGGAAGCAACAACGAGAGAGAGAGAGAGAGAGAGAGAGGGAGCGAGAGAGAGAGAGATAGCGAGGTAGCACAGTAACCAAATGAATCTCAGATGCTCCTCTGTCTTCCAACTCAATCTCTCTGGATTTGCTTCAGTGGCCTACATTACCAGAAAGCTGGCATCAGGTATCAGGGATGGGACAGCATTCTTCTGATTGGAGGGTTGCTTGCATTAGGATTATTAAAGGGGAATTTGCATAAGAATCTGAGACCACATGCTTCTAACTCTGGGTAATTTTCTAAATTTAGAGATTTAATAAATACCTTTTGGGGTGGGGGCAGGGAGTAATCCATGTTTAAAAGGGAGAGAAGTGCTTGCACCTCTACAAAGTAATAGTAGTAGAAGTAAAAACAAACAAACAGTCACATTTTGTATTTTCACTTGGATGTAATGTAAATAGCGAAAGAGGTTTCTGGGTAGGCAGGCAAGGGCATAAGGCTGAAAGGTGTTCTGAATTATTTAGGAGTATTAGATGTAGATGTTAATGATAAATCCGCAGAGAGGCTGCTGCCAGAAAAGGCTTTGGCCACAGAGAATATATGATTACTTTTAATAATGGTTAACAACACATCAGCTGTGCTTAATTCTGCCCTTGCTTTTTAGGATAAACATCATTAGGCCTAAATCGGTTAGTGTAATTATTTAAAAAACAAAACAAGAACATCTCTGTTCACAGAAGTATGTAGAGATCAGCAGTGGGGTTTCCCCCCTTTTCTTTAAAAGTGTTATCGGCTTATGGTTCATGTTGTCATCCCGTTACTATGATGCTAGTAATTACTTTAAAGGTAGTAGGAATAACCTTCCTTCTTAGAGTGCTTTCTTTTTATAGAAATATCAGTGAAAGGCATTAGAACTGCTATATTTTATTCCTTGTTTTGCGGGTGTTCTGTTCCTAGTTATGTGAGCATGTCTGAAGAGGACTAAAGTTGGTTCTGTTTGACGCCCTAAAGCAATCTTGCAATCTTGACAACGCTCACCTGGGATGATAACATTTTATTTTTTTTTAAAGTATGTAAGCACTCCTGGTTTGAATGATTAAACAGGGGGCTACTACTTAGCTTTTGGAAAGAGCTGCTTAAGGCAGGCATCCCCAAACTCAGCCCTCCAGCTGTTTTGGGACTACAATTCCCATCATCCCTGACCACTGGTCGTGTTAGCTAGGGATGATGGGAGTTGTAGTCCCCAAAACAGCTGGAGGGGCAAGTTTGGGGATGCCTGGCTTAAGGGGTGCAGGGCAAGCTGTGTGGCTCACATAGTTTTGTCCTCCACCTGAAGAGGCTGGTCAAGGGATTCGGGAGACATGTCCCAGAGGCTGCCACTGGTGACCTGCTCCCTACTTACCAGCACCTGCTTTCTCACTCTGCCTCATGGCAGGACCAGTCTGATGTCCACAAAGAGGAGGATTGCAGAAGTAGCTGGATGTTGGTAGTGAGAACAACATGTATGTTGTGACTCTCAGCTATGTTGAAATGTTGGTATGCAGTCTGGTTATATGCATGAAGGTGAGAGAGGTGGTAGAATCTTGTGGACTGTACCACCTTCAGACTGCAGGTGAAGGTGAGGGTAGCACTTCAAATGTTTCCCCACTTACCCCTCTGTGCCTGTTAAGTTGTGGGTGAACATATCAGACGACACAGCGATTCTTCAAACAGCTCTTGTTTATTCACAGGCCAGGACAGAACTGAACTGAAGGGTTCAGCCAGCCTGCTTATATAGAGCTCCACTAGAACACAACAGTAACCATTTTCTGTAACTATCCAATCACTGAATGTCACTTTCAATCCCTTATTTTCATATGTGGACCTGAGTGAAAACTATCTACAGTATCCCCCTGCTGGTCCAGGGTGAGAACTTCAGTACATAACAGCACCTCCCCAAGGGCTTCCCCCCCCCCAAATAGATCTTCATATAGAGCTGTGTTTATTTTTTTATGGACAGAAGCATTAAAAATGTGGTGCTCCACTTGCAATTGGAACATCATACAGTCTATTCTGCCATGTTAGGACTCTGTTTCCCTGCTGGCCATCACAGTCTTCGTGCATGTATATTCTTGTCTGAATATGAATAAGTTTAGGACAATTGGCTGTGACTATTTTAGAACATTAGTTGTGCAATTTATCAGGCTTCATTAGAAACAGATCTCATTGTGTTCAGTGGTGCTTACTCCTAGGCAAGTGGGCACAGGACTGCAGCCTAAGTAGAATTTTAAAGGAGTTTGGCCCCCTGAATTTATTGCTTGGCTTGAGTTGCTTTTGTGCCTAAGTTGTGGCAAAAGAATCTGTAATTTCATAATAGTAAAAAAACTAATTGAAAAGTGGTAAGTGGAGAAATCAAACTATTTTCAGCCATCATGGAAGAATCTCAGTTGATCCACAATATTGTTAAGGAAAAGTATCTTTTAACAAGATAATTTTATAAAGCTATGAAGCAACCTTTGTTTAAAAGTCAAGCAATGTAATGTCCTGTTTCAGCCTGTGTGAAGATCTGAAACACAAAGCTCTTGAACAAAGTAAACATTGGGAGCAAAAGCTATTTGTGGAGATTTGTAGTACATTTTTTGTACAGGAGATAACTGCAGAAAGCAATGCAAAGAACACACACACACACACACACACAAATCCTTCCTAGCACATAGCCTGTCTTGTCCAAATAAAATTGTTGCTTTATTGTTTATGGTTTGCTTTACTGTCCTTCCTTGAATTTCCCTAGATTAATTCTCAAACTACATTTGGCATACTGCAAGCTGCATACTGAGAGGCTTCTAAGACCCTGCTTGATTGTTTTCATGTCCAAATTAAATACACTTGTACCATTTTAGTACTGTATTAAAGAGCATAGGAGCTTTGTCTAGGCTGACCCATATTCTGCACCCTCTCTGAGACACGATGTCTGTAACACTATTTTGCCTCCCCTCCACACACCTAGGTTTCCAGTAGCAGCCAACCTTCTCCCCCAGGTATATTTATGCAGATTAAGAAGCATGGTCATTCTAATCTTCATGCTGGAAAAGCTATTAGGGTTTTACTTTTTCACCTCATTGTCACACATGGTGGGCTCTCTATGTGGCCACTGTGCTTTCTCAATCTCGAGAAGCAGCAATATTTATTTGGGCAGCTCCATGACTTTTTGCCTGGGGCTCGTTTTTCTCCACCCTTCGGCCACAGAGGCGGGCCCTCTGCTTTATCCCAATGACCTTCAATGTGTAATTTGCATTTAATATAAAAGCCATAAGTAAATATGTCATAATGAATAATTAATTTGCTGCTGAGTAGTATTATAGTAAGAAGCCAAGGTATTGCCTTATTTATTTGTTTTCTTTCCCATCGTTGAGGCTTCTCTATTTGCTGTGCTTGCTGCTAGCCAGCTGGGTTTCTGCCATGGCGCCATATCTTGTCTGCCCTTCCCCATTATTGCAGCAGAAGGAGCACTCACTCCTAGGACAGCTATGTGGGAGAGGAGAACAAGGTGCAAGCCTTGGATCCAGAGAAGGACCCCAACATTGTTTTATTTTGTGCTTCACTGTTGTATTCTGCCAGGAGATCATTTGATGTAAGGTGGGTTATAAATATTTGAATAGGTAAAAAAGAAAATAAAGGACATTTTAAAAATCGATAGCACTTCTGATGGATGTAAAGGCAAGGTAGGCAACGCTTTGCAAGAAACAGAAGGTAGCATCCTCTTATTAACTGAATAATAATAGTAATAATCAAAACAAAAACACTTGCTCAGTTAGACTTGCATGCCTGTCCTATGGGATAAGGATTGGTGACAAATATAACTCATTCTGAATTTTCCATGTCCCCATGAGAGTACTTGGATAAACCAGTTTATAAGAAAATGGATAGGTTGCGCAGCAGTGGAAGACAATTCTAATTATAATATAATATAATATAATAATAATAATATAATATAATATAATATAATATAATATAATATAATATAATATAATATAATAATAATATAATATTGCATTTCTGCTTCTCTCATGTAGCTTCTGTACAAACTAGGGTTAAGTACAACCATTTTACTGTGCCTAGCAATTATCTTTTAAAAGTAATTTCTTTTGCATTAGGTAGATCCAACTGCACTGGACACAAGCATATTATCAGCAGATATAATTCCATAATTGCATTTTATGGAGTCTCGAGAGCTGAAATTGGAAGAATTTGAAAGGAAAGCTTGCCTGAGAATACAAGCTGCTTGGGCAGAAGAAACAATACTATATAATTCTATATATTTGCCTTCTATGAACTCTGCAAACAATATATGGCACACATTTTTGCCTTAAGTAAACCTCAAGATTATTAAATAAAGGAAGGGGAAGTGTTCCCTGCTTGCGTTGTGCTGCCTGGAATGGACTTTAAATGTGTACATACACCCTAAACTGAGGCTACTACTAAACAGAAGGGAAGTGTTGTAACTCACAAGGTGTGAGGGCTGCACTATTTGCCTTGCCTCTGGCATCAAGCTGTCCATGTCTGGATGTCTGCAAAAGAGAGCCATATAGGTTTTAGGCTTAATGGTCTCACAGGAACCCTCTCTTTAGATAGTAATGTATTTCCCCCCACTTGCATTAAAATGTGTAGGTCAGCCTTGCTGTTTGTGGGGCTGTCTTGCTCCTGCCCTGTGGCAAAACTGCATGCGTAGGCTTCCATGGGATAGGGAACCCTGTGTGACTCGAGTTCCTCATTCTTGGAAAGCCTATCCAGGTAAGCATCCCAAGCTCAATAGGGGAAAGGCTAGCAGCAGCAGCAGTCTCTTGTACTTGTGGTGCCCCCTTTACCTGTGGAAAGAATTAATAGGTTTGTATGACTCTTCCAGGGACACTGTGGTCTAAACCACTGGGCCTCTTGGGCTTGCTGATCAGAAGGTCGGTGGTTCAAATCCCCATGACAGTTTGCAGTTTGAAAGCACGCCAAAAAAGCTAGTAGATAAATAGGTACCGCTCTGGCAGGAAGGTAAACGGCGTTTCCGTGCGCTGCTGTGGTTTCGGTGTTCCATTGCACCATAAGCGGCTTAATCATGCTGGCCACATGACCTGGAAAAACTGTCTGCGGACAAACGCCGGCTCCCTCGGCCTGTAAAGCGAGATGAGCGCCGCAACCCCAG